AGATGTTACCTTGCCGGGTAACGAAATGTCTGCAAGAAAACAACCAAGCTCAGAGAACCCCGAGGACTTCACTTTTGCCTCTGTTGTCAGAGCTGCCAGCTGCACTGCTTCACTCTGCCCACTTCTGTCAGACATTCATGGTCTTCTAAAAGCATACAGAAGCTGCTTGCCTTGAAGCCTAGTGGTTAGTCCAGCTGCATCAGTCCCACCTTGAGGGGCATGTTGGCACTGATGCTCAAAGCCAAGCACCAAGGTGGATTATGCTCATTTTACATAGTGGTTAGAATCACATTTGGGGTTCAGGGGAGTCTGAGCTCCAAATAATGACAACTCCTCAAGGCTTGCTTGATTGCATGGACAGAGCTTTTCAGATTTGGTTTTTTATCTGCCTTTGTCAGTGCCTCACTTTGACAAGCAGCTCTTTAGTCTGATCATTTTTGGTTTCAACCATGGGCTCAGATCACTAACCAATCCTACTTTTTGTTTTTAGCATTTGGGGTCTTCTTCACTCTTCTACTTCTTTCATTCAAGGAACCTCATCCTTTTCTTTCTTCCATCTGCTCTTCCCAATATAGTGAAAAGCTCTTCCTTCTCCTTTCTTGCATCTAAGAAGCTGATTAACTTATGGCTGGACTCATAGAAGTAGACTAAGTGTTGAGGAGCTGTGGTTTAATATATTATGGGAAACCCAACTGTTGCCTTAGGAAATCATATAAACCAGGAGATAATATTAACTTGTAATGTAGTTAATTCATTTGAGCATGACAAGGTGTGTGTCATGGCCCAGGACTCACACTGACTCCAAAGAAGCTCTCCAGCTGAACCTGTGGAATGTCAGCCTCAGGAGACACCAGGCCAGGAATCACTTGAAGATTCTCAAACACAGGCACTGTCAGAACAGCTGGAGCAGTCAGATGACAAGCCATGGCCCCCAAGCCCTTGGACTCGATGAGTAGGGTGGAGAGCAGAACAAAGACACTCAGTGAGGCTTCTTGCCAGGCAAGGAAGTAACTAACCTAATTAAAGTTAGCTGGCTGCAACCTGATTTAAGAGGTAGCCCTGACCCATGTTCCTCTGTTGGAAACAATCATCTGATCTCCTGCTCTGGTATGTTGTTCCTGAATTCTGCTCGTGAATCCTACAACTCTGACCTTTGGACTGGCTGACAAACCAGACTTGCCTCTCTGAACTTTGGACTGGATTTTGACTTCTCTTCTGTGTGTTCCTATTGAAAGTGAAACTACCCAGGCAAGCTTCCTTCCCCAACGGCTCTGTTTTGATTTATGTTCCTTTCCTTGTCTGCTGTTATCTATTCAGCCTTGAGTAAATTGCTATTTTCACCTAGCAACTGTGTGAGTTTGAAACCTGAAACAGGACAATGTGTGCGAAGATAGTCAAAATAGCCCATTTCTGGCTTTGCACAATAAACTGGATTATCACTTAACCACCACAACATGCTAAGCCACCAAAAAAAAAAAAAAAATCTAACCAAGGCAGTATCTAAGTAAGCTTTCTTCAGCATGCAAATGAGGCTGGTAGGTCTTTAACGGACTTGGTTGTCTATATTGTGTGAAGATAAAAAATTGTGGTTAACACAGCTCAGCTTTGTGTGAACCAGGCTTCCCTGTTGTCCTGTATTAACTAATGTATTGGCCAGGTTTTGTGGCAGGTGGCTTGGCTTGACTTTTTGATGGAACTCTTTATGCCACAGAGTCAGATTGATTCTCCATGCCCAGCTACAAAAGCAACCCAATTTCCCCTAACAAGGAGATCTGTGTTGCCTCAAAGCCTCAACTAGCACTTCTACCATGAGGAAGGATTTTTCTACATTCATTGTACTTGCTAAAAAAGTATCTTTTGGTTGCCTTCAGAAGTCAAGTGGAAGTGTCAAGAAAAGCTTAGATGCACAGTATGTCAGAAACTACTTTTGGCCACTGAATTGTTGGAGGAGACCTCAGAAGAAAGAAATCATAGAACGTTAGGGTTGGAAGAGATCTTGAGAACATCTAATCCAACCCCTGCCAAGAGTTCTCCATTACAGCATTAATAACAAAACAGGTAGCATGACATTTTGCTTCACTCTGAGAGGGGCATGTAGCTCTACAAAGCACCTTTGAGGTGGGGGCACACTTTATTGAGCCTTTGATAGAGCAAAGTATCCTTTCAAAGATTGCTACAGCCTTTTATGTGATGATTTTGCTTCCTGGAGTCACATTCACCAGAGTTCAATATGTTTCTTTTTCCCTGCCTAGCTCACTCCCCCTGCAGCATCAAGTGTAATGGTTGAAATATAGCAGTAAGTGTGAGAATTAGGCCACCGTTCTTACCTGACCCACAGTATATGGTCCTACACATCACCTTTCCTAAGATTCAACCTTTATAGAAAAAGCTGACTTGCTTTGTCTTTAACTGTCTCCTTTGAATATGATTATATAGACAGAGCTGTCATTCAGCTGTGAACAGTAGAACTGGATTCTGAAGTTGCACATTCCTTTCTGATTCTGGTATCTTGGCATTCAGTGGAGTTCTTGCAAAACAAAGGAAGTGACACATTTACTAACAAAGTGCCAAACAGTTGAAGGAACCAAATGTTTCATACCACTGAGCCAACAATTGTGTAAAAAGGTCAGTTATGAATTATATGTGTAACCTTTTAAGTGGGACACAGCCTAATATTGATTGTGGAAAGGAGAATTGCAATACAGTAAACAAGTGAGATGTGGTGGAATAAATGAACACCTCCATTCTACTCCCAGTCCATTTTCCCATTCATTTTGCCCTTAATTTTTTTAATGTGTTTTTTTGTTCCAATACATATTCCAGTATCAAGTACGCACTTCTCTAATTATTTTGGGTAAAATATACTTCTGCAAACTTTCCATAGGTCTGTGGATTTCTCTAGTGCCTGCATACGTAGGGCAGTTTGATTCAATTAGAACCAACATTCATTAAACATTACAGAGAAGGATTGATTGGCCCCATTATGAGAGCTGAAACACATGGGGAAGAACAATGGCTGTGCTGAGGAGCGATATGTAGCATACTCAGGTAGATAAGAGACTTATCAGATCTTAATGAGTGCTTTTGGGTTCCTTGGTGATGGGGCACATGCATTGTTAGTGCATCCCTTAACATTACAGGTAGGGCTAGAAAGACATCTGCCTGAATCCTTGTAGAACCATTGGAAGCTAGTACTCATAGCAGTAGAGTGAATGAATGAATAGGTTAACTCATTTAGCTGGGAAAATTTTGAGGCAAAAAATTGAGATCGACATCTACTTAGCAGAACATATGCTTGTGAAAAGAACCAAGCCCATTAAAAGTATCTAGAGAGAAGCGTGCTACTTCCTTAATAAACATTGTTGGTCTTTTTTGGACCATAAACATCTGTTATGAGTACCTAGAGACAGATGCTTAGAATGCATAAGGACAAGCACGGTTTATTAGGGAGGTGATCTGCTTAAATAAAAAGCCTGCATCTTTTCAGTTCACATGATGAAAGAAAGAAGAAGAAGGAAGAAAAAAAATAAAAATACTGTAGGAATTCCTGTAGGAAGCAGCAGGATGGGAAGACCGTCATTGGAAGTTAAAGTGCTCTCTGCTTGTCAGTGTTCCTGAGAGCAGGAATCTGACCTGAGCAAGGATTAGTGGAGAAGGTTTTAGAACTATCACAGAAAGGAGATCTATTTACAGGAAATGCTTGACAGAGATAAGCAAAGCTTCACACCTCGCTAACTACATCCTACCAGGAGGAGAGACCCAGAGGATGTACTCCATGCATGTGTGCCTGGGATAAACAACAGAAGGAAATGACCTCAGATTAGCCATCTCTTAGACTTGGCAACTTTAAGATGTGTGGACTTCAACAAACGCTTGGTCTGAAACAGCTAAAGCAGGCTAGGCAGAAAACAGTGACAGGTCAGTCATGAGCTAAGGTAAGGCCCTTATTTTAAGCAGCAGGTTGAGAAGGGATTAGGGTTAGGGTTAGTGTAATCCTAGTCCCACCTGGCCTGTGCAGTGCAGTGCAGTGGCTGGGTTACCTCCTCTTCTAACTGAAATCCAATAATTGGCATACTTGAAAAAGAAGACAAAGTGAACCAAGGCGGGTTGAAGACCAGTCTAGAGACAGAAATAGTTGGAAGATCAGTGGTAGTAATGGTTTCTGAAGTCCACTGTTCAGCCTTCCATTCTAGATACTCATACATGTTCTGTCTGCACTGGGGACCAGAGATGCACTTAACTCTAAGCAGGTCACATTCCTATAGCGAAAGAGAGAGTTTCATTTTATAGCAAAGTTTCTCATTTCCTTCATTTGCCCGATGCCACCAGCCATACAAATCATCAAGGAGACTGTATTTCCCATTGTGCAGCAAATATTCTCTTATTAAAAGAGACACTCTTTTGTTCCATGTGGCTGTAATTCAGATGCCAGTAATCTCATCCTGAAAACCCTGTGGGCTTTCAGTGAAATGTTCATTTAATTAACTCCAAGCAGTTTGATTCTAGGAGTAGTTGATTAAATTAATGTGATTCAGCTGAAACCAGAAAGGTCCAGAGAAAAGCTCATCTCTCATGTAGGGTCATCATACTCCTTATGTAACTAGTCCTGTGCATTGTCTGCATGGTTTATGGCCAACGCTTTTCATTGAAAAGTTCTGAAACTGCTCAGTTAACTTCACGTCCCAAATCAAAGTTGGTTCCCATGGGTTGGGACACAGCCATATGTTTTTCTTAGTTACAATACAGAAATGGCTTATAACAGCCTTTTCCAGAATGTCTTTTGTCTTTGCTGTCTAGCTGATAGTCTTGGGATTTCCCAGGGCAAATCAAAGTGCTAGTGTTGATGAAGATTCTCAGTCATCCAGGTGGAATTACCTGGAGATTGAGTCATGGCAACTGGACTTCTTTTCTTTTGGGTTGATACGTTTCGCTGCTTGTCCAAGCAGCTTCTTCAGTCTAGAAAGTTGGTTAGGGGGACCCCATAAATGTCTTCCAGGGTGGCTGTGTTTCTCACTCACATGATGGGCTCTTTCTCTAACGAGAACAGACAAAGTAACAGACAAAGTAACAGAAAACGAAGAAGCTAAAGTGCTCTGGGACTTTAGAATCCAAACAGACAAGCACCTGCCACACAACACCCCAGACTTAACCTTTCTTGATAAGAAAGACGAAAAAGTCTGGACAGTGGACGTTGCCATACCTGGACACAGCAGAATAGAAGAGAAAGAACTGGAGAAAATCACAAAATAGAAAGATCTGCAAATAGAAGTAGAACGACTGTGGCAAAATAAAGCAAAGATAGTACCAATAGCAATAGGCGCTTTAGGTGCAATCCCAAAACATCTGGAGCACCCCTTGAAAACCATCAGCATTGACAAAATCACCATCAGTCCATTGCAAAAGGCAGGTTTACTTGGAACAGCTTCTATCCTGCAACGATACCTTTAACACTATCAGACAACAACATCTGCCTATCCCAGATCCTTGGGAAGGACTCAATAGCTGGAGAAAAATGCCAAATCCAGTCTAAACATCTGGCTCACTGTGCGACCAACCATAATAATAATTTTGTATTGATAATATTGACTCAGTCATTGATCGACCTTGAACTAGTATTCTGCATACAGCCTGGTAACAATTTGGCAACCATGTGGTAGATCATCAGACTAGGAATGAAAAACTGAACTGCTTATCCATAATGAGACCACACTCTTAGGCTTTGAAAAAAAAATCATAAAGTGAGAAATTTGTTAAAAGAAAATAATGTGGCAACACCCCCTGGACAGGATTTCCAATGTATGTATCCATACCTGCAATGGTAAGAGGAAGATTGCATAAATCAGAAAACCTTAAAAAATGAATAGGGGTCTTATGAACAATTTCGCTTCTGCCTAGGTAGGGAACAGATGAGAAGCAGTCCTGTTGC